GATGTGCTTTTCTAGTTTGATTATTTATCCTAGCATTTTTATTCCCCCTAGCTTTAACAAATGTTGTTTTTCTAGGTTGGTTTTTCTTATATCCAAGTCCTTCACCATTACTAACTTTTTGCTTAAGTATTTTATCTAAGGTGTTTGAAGCATTATTGAACTTTCCCAATTTGCTCTCTAAACTAGTAACCTTAGCTTTTAGTGATGTACAACTAGAGCATGTAGAAGAAGAAGTAGTTGAAGGTTCTTGTGGCCTTTTTCCAAAAGAGATAATTTCTTGTTTAAGTTTGTCACTTATATTTTTGAGTTCTTTGATTTCATTCTCAAAAATCAGGATTTTTTGCTTTATTTCATTGTTTTCTTTGGAAGCCTTTTTGAACATTCTTACCAATTCTTCTACAATGCAAACAACATCATTAAGAGTTAAAGGATCATTTGGAGAAGGTTCTTGATCACTTACCTCTTTTGATGTATCACTATCTTCAATGGCCATGAGACACAAGTTGGCCACTTCCTCCGTTTCCGAGCCTTCACTCCCGGAGCCGTCGTTCTCCCAAGAAATGTAGGCACGTTGCTTCTTCGGTGCCCTCTTGTCCTTCTCGTTCTTGAGCTTTGGACACATTGGTTTGATGTGTCCAATTTCACCACACCCATAGCATTTGGGTGGAGTGTTCTTCTTGGCTCCCTTCTTGAGCATCATCTTTTTGAATTTTCAGACAAAGAGTCCGAGGTCGGTGTCGTCGCTGTCATCATCTTCATCATCAACGTTGTTGTGGGTTGATGTTGTTGCGGGTAGAGCAATAGAACTTTTGTTCCTCTCTTCAACCACCTTTGAGAGTTGTGTGGTTTCGTAGGTAATAAGATTACCTCGAAGAGCATCATAGGTCGTTGTTTGGAAGTCACGACCTTCTTCGATTGCGTCCACCTTTGAACGCCATTTGGGGGATAGGCTTCGCAACACCTTTCTCATGAGCTCTCGGTCGGTGTATGTCTTCCCGAGAAGATTGAGAAGATTGATGATGTTAGAGAATCTCTCAAACATTTCCTCAATCTTCTCATTTTCCTTCATTGAAAAGAGTTCATACTCGTGAGTGAGATGGTCAATTTTGGCCTCCCATGTTAGAATAAAGGCCCAACGCTAGAGGGGGGGTGAATAGCGTTTAAAACAAAATCGCAGGAAATTAAAACGAGAGCGTTAAAGTAAAGAGCGTAAAGAAGGAGCACACCGGATTTTATCCTGGTTCACCACAACGTGTGGCTAATCCAGCCCCCCGAGAGACTCTCTCGAGCTACACTAACTCCGCTAAGCTTAAGGG